AAAGAAAGGGAGGACTGGGACGGAGGGGAGAGAAATAGCTGCCTGAGGACAGACAATGAAAATTCCAAAAGAAAGTATTCCCCTGTCATAAGCTACTCCCAGCAGAAACCTTCAGAACATACTGGAAGGACTCAAAGTCTCCTTTGTGGTTTATATTGAAAAACTAAAACTCTGAGTAATGGCATAAACAGAGACTAGAATTATTCTCTGGGTACTGAAAAGGGACTTGTTGGTACTGAAAAATAAATAGCATACTCCAGCACCAGTTAAGCCTTCAAATTACCAAGGTCCTCTCTGACATTCTGATTAGAACCTCCTAAGAGATCATGAGACACAAATCACTCAGCTAAGACATTTCCAGACTTCTGATGTTTGAGAGATATGAGGTAATAAACACGTGTTTTTTTGTAGTTTATCGATTTTAGCAAAATTTGTTATGCTGAAGAGTATTTTATAGAACAATGATTATTTCTCTCCTTTTTCTTTCTACTTATGTTGTTGTTTAATCTTAGTTTCTCTCGTACTGCCTGAAGTGGAATGCTCTGCTTAGATCAGGCTTGAGAAGTGTCTTAGCTTGAGAACCATGAGCCATGTTCTGATACTGGCCATTGTTTTTATATAATGAGGATGTTAAACTATTACCTATGCAATCAGAAGAAATACATTAATGGGGCCAGCAGGCGGCATGGTGGTTAAGGTGGTAGATTTCCACATGGCTGACCATGGTTAGTGTCTTGACCTGGTGGCTTCCTTTCTCACTTTTCCTCTCTCTGCCTCTCTCTGGTAAAATTAATCATAATAATTATAAATTAAATTTTTTTCCGGGACCAACAGTTGACATAATAGTTATGTTGCTGGACTCCCATGTAGTCAACCACTGTTCAAGTCCCAGACCCACTGGCTTAAACTCACACTGGGCGTGTGTATGTGCCCAAGATCCCAAGAGAATAATGGAGGAAAAGGGATTGAGACGTGGCCATCGCCCCTAGGGGGTGACTTCTTGCTTTCTGTCTCTCTGTCTCTCTCTCTCTTTCTGGCAAGCTCACGTGCCCTATAGCAAAAACCTCTAAAAAAATAAATAAATAAAAATAAATTTTTTTTTTTCAAAACAAAAAATGCAGAGTTCTTTTTTTTTTTTTTTCCTAAGGGATTTTTGCAATAGAGTGTGTGCATTTGCCAGAGAGACAGAAACAGAGAAATCACCCCCCACACTCAAGGAGCATGGCCAACTGCAATCCCTTCCCTTCCTTTCTCCTCTCAGGATTTTGGGCATGCACGCATGCCCATGCACCCAGCGTGAGTTTTAAGCCACTGGGTCTGGGACTCAAAGCACTGTTGACTACATGAGAGTCCAATGACATAACCATTATACCATCTGCTGGTAACCAAAATGTATTTTTCTTAATTTTATAGAAAAATAAATGATAACCTAACCTTTTTTATTATATCCCTCTCATACTATGATCTGTAACTCCTTTTCTTAACCTACAAGGCTAAATGTATTTCAGAATGCAAAATTTTATGCATTTCAGAAAAGTATCCATTTTACCTCATAACTTCACTGAAGTCTGGGGCATCAACTTGTATGTGGACACATTGATATTTCTGCAATGAAATGTCTGATTGTTCTTACCAAATGGGCTAAAGGAAGACTAGGAAAAGCCTCTGGTTTTGCTACCAAATATGTTCAGTTTCAGTTAAATTTTGCTGCCAAGTAAATTATGAAAAATTTGTTTTTCAGAGCTTTTCTATTTCAGAACTGTGATTAAGGCATTATAAACTGCTACTAATTTTACACTGAAAGTTTCCTTCACTCATCTTTTTCTCATGTTTTTCTTCTCAAATTGCTACTTAGTTACTACTTATTGTCTACTAGGAAATGTTTTCTTTAAATAGCCGGAATTTTCATTTATTTCAGCAGTTTATGAATCTGACTGGATATTAAAATCATTTGGAGAATTTTTGAGAAGTACTGATGCTTGGGCCCCAACTATATTGGAATCCTGGGGATAATGCCTGGGCATTATGTCCAAGCTTCCTATGTGATTCTAGGATGTATACAGGTTGAAAACCGCTACTCTATCCAATGAGATGACTTAATTTCCATAAGATTCCATCTTTCAATCTTACAATCATTTTAAATGGCAGTCAATCTTTGCTTTTTGTTTTCTTCTCTTCTAATTTAGTTCATCTGTAAATGAACGTGGCTTTCATTATGTTTTTGATGTAGAATTATGCTATAATCTGATCAAATGATAAGATTTACTTACTACATCAGCAGCTTCACAGGTGGGGATTATTATTTAAGTACAAGGAAAATTGTAAGAAAGCTCTACTTTATTTATTTATGTT